GAAAATGGTATAAAATTAGGGTAAGATAGGGTAGGATAACTTTGGTGGATAACTTTGGTGGATAGTTGTCTCATTGGCAATCATACCACATCTACTTATTTTTATATTAAGAGTTTAAAAATAGTGTCCGATGACCCAGCCTTCCAACCATCATGGCCGACTTGGTTAAAAATAGAACATAGGGGTAAAATGCAGTTTTTGGTTTATATTTCTGAAACTAAAGCATTTAGAGCAAATCTGACAGGAGGCAAAAATGTTCATCAGATTTAGATTTATCAGATGAATTCGACAACCGTTGTTGGGTTGCTGCCCCTGAGTTAGTAATTTTACAGAAATTTTGCAGTTTTTATACGACCGTCGTATATTGGTATGACGTTGGCGTCGTCGTTGTCGTTGTCGTCGTCCAAAGACACATTGGTTTTCGCACTCTAACTTTAGTTTAAGTGAATGGATCTCTTTGAAATTTTACCATAAGGTTAAATACCACAAAAGGAAGGTTGGGATTGATTTTGGGGGTTATGGTACCAACAGTTAAGGAATTAGGGGCCAAAAATAAGCATTTTCTAGTTTCCAGACAATAACTGTGGAACGGTGTATGGATCTCTCTGAAATTATACTACAAGTTTCCATACCATAAAGGGATGGTTAGGATTTGCTTTGGGGGGCTATGGCTCAAACCGTTTAGGAATTAGGGACAAAAAAAGGGGGAAAAACAAGGTTGTCCTGGTTAATGGACAAATACTTTAGTACAAAACATAATTTAAAGCAGTGTAAGGGAGATAAATCAAATACATCATTGAAATTACCTCCCTTACACTGCTTTTAAATTATGTATAAAGTAATGGTTAATGAACAATTAAGATAATTTAAAACAGTGTAAGGGAGGTAATCCAAATACAATGTTTTGTTACTTCCCTTACACTGCTTTTAAATTATGTTTAAAGAAATGCATATTTATAAAGGAAGGCCAGTAAAAATATCTGCAAATGTTGCATCTTTTTTTTTTACAAAAAAATCCATATGAAAGATTTGACACTATATTTCAAATTCTATTATAAAATAGATTAAGTTAGCACTATGGTAAATTTAAATGGGTAATTATGGTTGCAAACTCCATTGGAAATTTGAATTGAGATTATGACCATATCTTGAAGGAAAGAATTTTTTTGGGGAAAAAATGGAGGGGGGGGGGGGGGGGGGGGTGGGGTAAAAAGAAATTGTGGAGGTCAATTTTTTCTCATTTCAGATTTCAGAAATTAAAAAGAATTATTCTTCAAATATTTTTTTTTTTTCAAATTTCAAATATTGAAAAATTTCAAGAAGTAATCTTTAATTGCACAGTATGGCGCATTAGATTTGTAAAATCTTTGACCACATTTATTTATTTGTTATGCCGAATCTAACCGTGTATTTAGATTTTTAATTTTGGGTCCAGTTTTCAAATTGGTCTACATTAAGGTCCAAAGGGTCCAAAATTAAACTTTGTTTGATTTTAACAAAAATTGAATTCTTGGGGTTCTTTGATATGCTGAATCTAAACATGTATTTAGATTTTTGATTTTTGGCCCAGTTTTCAAGTTGGTCCAAATTGAGGTCCAAAATTAAACTTTGTTTGATTTCAACAAAAATTGAATATATGGGGTTCTTTGATATGCTGAATCTAACCATGTATTTAGATTTTTTATTTGTGGATCCCACTATCAAATTGGTTCATATTGAGGTAAAAAGGGTCCAAAATTAAACTTTGTTTTATTTCATCAAAAATTGAATTACTGGGGTTCTTTGATATGCCAAATCTAACCGTGTATTTAGATTTTTAATTTTGGGTCCTGTTTTTTAAGTTGGTCTACATTAAGGTCCAAAGGGTCCAAAATTAAACTTAGTTTGATTTTAACAAAAATTGAATATATGGGGTTCTTTGATATGCTGAATCTAACCATGTATTTTGATTTTGGACATTGTACCATAATAGGTAAATTAAAAAAATTCAAGTCCTTAGACCACATTCTTTCTGTGTCAGAAACCTATGCTGTGTCAAATATTTAATCACAATCCAAATTCAGAGCTGTATCAAGCTTGAATGTTGTGTCCATACTTGCCCCAACTGTTCAGGGTTCGACCTCTGCGGTCGTATCAAGCTGCGCCCAGCGAAGCATTTTATTTGTTATTATCTTAATTATCATTATAATATCTAATATCTAATACTTTTAATTATGATTTTAACCCTATTTTACATGAATTCCAAAGCATCAGTAAATACAGGTGAGCGACATAGGCTCTTGAGAGCCTCTAGTTTTTTTTTGGTGGAGTTCGTGTTGTTTAATCTATAGTTTTCTATCAAGTGTTTTGTAGACTTGTATGTCTTTTTGTCCTTTTCCTTTTATACCATGGTGTTTATTGTCAGTTTTTCGACAACGTATGAGTTTGGAATGATCCCTTAAGCTTGGTGTCTTACCCCTCTATTTTTAACATATACTGGAGGGTATCATCAGCTCATTACTCCATGGTTTGGTAACTGGCATAACTTGTAAACTACATAAGGAAATGCCTGTACCAAGTCAGGAATATGACAGTTATTTTCCATTTGTTTGATGTGTTTGAGCTTTTGATTTTGCCATTTGATAAGGGACTTTCCATTTTGAATTTTCCTTGCAGTTCCGTATTTTTGTTATTTTACTTTTTTGTTACATATCTTTCTTAAATTCTCCATTTATAAATGCAGAAATTACTGGTATTAAGAAACTCATATTTCAACTTCCTCCGAAGGCAAAGCTAGATGACCACTGGTTACGATTTGGCCACTGTTACAGTAGTTTCTTATTTTTAAATATAATTTTTTGTGTATCTAGAGGAAAAGTTGTATTTTCATGGACTCTCTGAGATATAGTCTTTTTGTGATGATGCTTTTTGTGCTGATGCGGCGTAAAGCAATCACCAGTCATGGATATTTGATTTTATGGTATTGTCAAAGTCTGCAACCTTCAGTCTATTATCAATTAATACTGCCTTGAACATTTGTATTCAAAGTTTACCTATACCAAGGAAATACATGAAAATTGGAATCCAACCAATAATAATGAATACACAGTAATTTTTTTAAATCCCTTTTGATCATTTAGCTTTTCATGTATTCTTAATTTAAGCAGCAAATATCGAGTGTCAGGATATCAGAACAGCTGGTTAAAAAATATATAAAAAAACAGGAATTTTTAAACTGGAAAATTAAACAGGAAAAGTGTAATTGAGTAGTTAATTCAGTTCTTATCTAAAATCAAGACTCTTCTTTCCTATTCATTTTCTATTTATAAGTGCTCTGTAAATATTACAGTATTTCATCATGTTCTGTTCAAATATGGAAATGATGCTTGAAAATGTCAAACTTAATGAATAATTGTTACTCCAGGGAATCTTGGTTACAACATTGAGTTTATAGATGGTATAATATATTATTATTCTGTTGCTGAAACAAAAATATTTTGCATATTTTTAAATGGTCTTTCAAATTGAATCTTATATCAGCAGCATTTCATATTCTTTTTGCTATTGTGCCTTTAAATTCCCTGACTATGGCTAGAAGTATGTAACAATTTATGAAGATATCGAATATTTGAAAATCATATATATATTTCAGATTACAATAGGGTAATCATTATAATAATCAGTATAATTTCCCTGTTATATCTTAATATTCTATATTGAAAAGTAGCAAATTTAGGAAGTAAAGTTATTTTCGTGTTTAATGTGTGTGTAGTTTATGTTAACAGTTAGAAGGTAAAAAAAATACATGTCAACTGTTATATGCAGAAAAAATAGGTTAAATTGGTAAGTAAGAATTTTTTTAATATTTTTTACTTGAGGCTATATGACATTGTGACTTTATTTGCACTTAATAGAAAATGGTATAAAATTAGGGTAAGATAGGGTAGGATAACTTTGGTGGATAGTTGTCTCATTGGCAATCATACCACATCTACTTATTTTTATATTAAGAGGTTAAAAATAGGGTTAGTGGGGACGTGGGGTGACAGATTTAAAACATTCCCATTTTTTGTTTTGGCCTAAAAAAATGTTTTATTTGTGCAATGAACAACTTTTAATAAGATGGATATATAAGGGTGTTACTTAAGAACTTAAGAATATTATATTTACCAAGACCAGAGGTCGAGGTCAATATATTTCTTCTAGAAATTTATGCATCCACAGAAATAAAAGACATTGGTTGCTTTATGCATTGTTATTATACCCTTTTCTTGTTTGTTTTATTGCTTTATTTGCTAGGTTTTCATAGATGTACAGTGTACCCCGCTTGGTTTATAATATTCACAATATATTACATACAGTTACTGTAATGTTATATCAGAGAATGTTACGAGAAAACTTTGGCAATCAGAACAATTACTACAGTATTTCAAAACCTGTGATGGATTCATTAGCACATATAAAAGTTTGAATATTCCATGTTTCTTGTAAAAATTTTATGTTCAGAGGATGTTACTAGAAAACTTTGCCAATCAGAACAATCAGTGCAGTATTTGAAAACATGTGATTGATTCATTAGCACATATAAAAAGTTTAAATATCCCATACTTCTTAGTAATAATTGTTGATTGATTGATTAATGTCTGCTTAATCTCCAGGTTTAAAATATATCTGGCTCAATCAGGATGATAACTTGTTTTAATTGATGTGAACATGACACCTGCTTCCTTCTAGACTGACACACTGACACACTGAGCCAGATTTTAAACATGGTAGCTCTTAAGGTAACAAAAGTGACTCTTCCCATAAAAGTTATCCTGGCACCCTAGCTGACCCAAATTTGTTCTTTAATGTTGTGTGCTTGGATGAGCAGCAGTTACCAATTTTAAAGTTTTTTTTACCAGGCTGGGCACGAGCTCATGACTTATCATACACGAGAGGAGCATGTGCACCCTATCATGAAGACAGTTGATCTTTTTTTATGTACACAAATATATTTTCAGAAAGTTGTTTCTTTTTAGCTCCACCTGGCAGCATTAACTTCATTGAAAGGGGAGATAATTGAAATCAACAACAGACTTCATCGTGTGATTAGTGAGAGAGATGCGCTTGAAAAACAACTTAACAAATTACAGGTAATTTAATTATAAGTACCTTTAAAAAAAATACTCATTAAAGAAAAACATATATAATTTGGCAAAACATTTCAGAATTTTAGATTATTATGCTCTTCAAATTTCATAATATTTGATTTGGTTTTGCAACTGTTTTGACTTGAGCACCATTGATGAGTCTTTATGTAGACAAAAGGCATGTCTGCCATACCTAATTATAGGCCTAGTATCTTTGATAAGTTTTAATAGAAGTCAGAACTCATTCATTGTCTGCCTCAACAAAGGTTCTATAATAATATAAATGCTCATGTAGTTTTAAAGTTGTTGTTTTATAATCTGTAAATACTGAAAGCACCATTTAGCTTTAGTTATGCATTTAGTCTTCATTATGCTTATTAGTGCCTAACCTAAACCAGAACTTGAATCAAATGAAGTTATAAGGTTAGAGAATAAAGGTTTAGGTCACAAAAGTACTTCGAAATTTTCAGCATGTTGACCTCTACAGTACCACTTTTGCATCCCCTCTTCATCAACATAATATTTTATTTCAAAGTCATCGGCAAAACTTGTAAGTCACTTGATAGAAATACATATGTCCGATTGAAAAAAAAGATGCTCTGCCTTGCAGTTAGTTCCCCTTGTTCACTATTTGAATCTTTGTATTATTTTTTAGACTGATAAACTTCGGCAGCAAAGAGACTTTGAAGATAGACTGGAACAAACAACTGGAAGGTATGAAGAAAGGATAACAGAACTGCACAGTGTTATAGCTGAACTAAGGAAGAAGATAGAGAGACACCAAATTAATGTCATTAGGTATTGGAATTTGTTTAATGAATTGATAAAAGAGATGATTTTTCATTTCCTATCGGTAATTATCCATTTTTAGATGGTGACGTTCCCTTGTCACCATCTTATGGTGTTTATATATCTCAACTTGTACGATTCGCTCATGTATGTAACAACGTATTAGATTTTAGCGAGAGAAATTTATGTATTACTGAAAAATTATTACACCAGGGTTTTCGATATCATAAACTAGTCAAAACATTTACTAAATTTTATCATCTGTATAAGGACATCATTCGTAAATATAACTCAACATGCAGACATCTTATACGTACAGTAATTTCACATCCAATCTTTTATGGTAATATTCTTTACAAAGCACAAAAATGTCAGTATTCCCCTCAAAAGCTAACAAAACCTTTAAACAGACTTATTAAGAAGGGTTATAGTTACGATACTGTTGTCAGGTCATTAAAGATTGCATATTTTGGCTTTAATATTGATTCACTTATAGGGTCTTTGCATCGGAATTAAACATATTTATTCTAAAACCAGTTGTTGCCATGACACGGGTTATGTTCTTCTCATATATTTTATGATGGTATAATACTAAACCCCTAACGGGAGGGATTGTGCCTGATATTCATATGATAAGGACATAATCTGTCAATAAGTTTAATTGAGGTCTGGAGCTGGCATGTCAGTAACTGCTAGTAGTCTGTTGTTATTTATGTATTATTGTCATTTTGTTTATTTTCTTTTGTTTCCTATTCTGACATCGGACTCGGACTTCTCTTGAACTGAGTTTTACTGTGCGTACTGTTGTGCGTTTGTTTTTTCTACATTAGCTAGAGGTATAGGGGGAGGGTTGAGATCTCAAAAAACATGTTTAACCCCGCCGCATTTTTGCGCCTGTCCCAAGTCAGGAGCCTCTGGCCTTTGTTAGTCTTCTATCATTTTGAATTTTAGTTTCTTGTGTATAATTTGGAGTTTAGCATGATGTCCATTATCACTGAACTAGTATACATATTTGTTTAGGGGCCAGCTGAAGGACGTCTCCGGGTGCAGGAGTTTCTCGCTGCATTGAAGATCCATTGGTGGCCTTCAGCTGTTGTCTGCTCTATGGTCGGGTTCTTGTCTCATTCCCCATTTCCATTCTCAATTTTATAAAAGATAGCTAATGTGTGAAATGATGGTTGTTGATAAGTTTTGAGACAAAATCCTGGTATGATTAATGATATTTCTAGGTATCATAAACCTAACACTCTGTTCTGTGGAATATTTTCAGGTGAAACACACAAAAAAACCTGAAAAACAAAAAGAAACATAAGATTGATTGATTGTTGCTTGGTAAACCTCCAGTGGCAAAAAATTTCATGCATATTCAGTAGGATGGAAACGTGATTACTTTATGGATATGAATAAGTTACTCATCAAGCTAGTTGAGATATACTTTGATTTTGATGTCTTGTATCAAAAAATTATTTTATCCTTCTCATTTTGTTTATTTATAAAGTTATTATATATCTTTGTACTTATTCTTTTCCTGCATGGCTGAGAATTGCCAAAAAACTAAATAAAGTTATTTTTACAGATACTTTTTTTAGACGATTTTGCAGTTAATTTTTTCATGATTTTCAATTGATGTTGTTTTTTTTATTTTTGAAAGTCATGACAATAAATAGCTCGCAAAAATTAATTTGTTTACAGTAATAACTAGGAATCAAGAGATTAATGTAGTTTGCTGAAACATCTTACTTAGTCCTTTATTTCCCCTAAGGATGAAAGTTTTTGTGTCATTTACATAGGTAGACCCTCTTCACTAGTTAAACATCCCTTATCTGAATGAAGGCTGTATATTGCTCTCTGGATATTTTTGCTGCTTGGTTGCTGTCTCGTTGACATATACCCACCTTCTTTTTCATATATCCTGACAGAAGAGTTGAGTTTAGACTTTTCCCCTGGTTTACACACAGTTTAATTTTAACAGAAATCGTTGAATAGAGTTGGTTCAATCATTTTTCTGCCCCCACAGTTAGGCAACAGGGGCATTAAGTGTTACCATTGACCATCCATCCATCTGTCTTTTTGTCCTTCCTTCTGTCTGTCTTTCCATCCGTCTGTCCTTCTGAACGTTTCATTTTCGTTTCCGCACTCTAACTTAAGTTTGCCCAATGCAAATTTTATGAAATTCATACACAATGCTTAAATTCAAAACTAGCAGACAGAATTTGGGCAGTGGGTCACTCACCGTTCTAAATTTATGCCCCTTTATAACTTGGAAAATTGCAAATTTTTTCGTTTCCAGACTCTTAACTTAAGTTTGTCTCATCCAAATTTTATGAAACTCATACACAATGCTAAGAACCACAACATGCAGACAGAGTTCGAATTTAGGTTGTGAGTCATGTACCATTCTAGAGTTATGCCCCTTTCAACTTTGAAAATTGCAAAGCTTGAGCAGGGGCATTCATGTCCTCAGACACATTCATCTTTTATTTCATTTTAACTTACTGTTGTTTCTTTTCAGAGAAGAAGAAGAATATGAAGAATCAGATCCAGGAGTACAGAGTACTAAGAGTAATAATCCAAGGAGTATTGACGAAAATAATCCGTCTCAGGCTGCTAGTGTTGGTAGGTGTATACTAGATATATTAGGAATGATGTCTCTGTGTGCTTATAAAAAATCCCTCATAGTTTGATGGGGCCTTGGTGTTCGAGTTGTCTAAGTAGTCCAACTACTGTATCACTAGCCTCTCAACACTGAGGTTGTGAGTTTGAACCCCCCACCTGGCAGGTTTATCTGACTCCAGATTTAATTAACTAGGGTTGTCAGTTTTCATGTCGAAGGTTGTGGTTCTCTCAGGGCACTCTGGTTTCCTCCAACATTAAAACTGACCTCCACAATATAGCCAATAATGCTGAGAGTGACGTTCAACACCAATCAATCAATCAATCATGGCAAATGCATATTCAGGACAGGAACTTGTAAATGTAATATGAGTATGAACCCTGCTTTGTACTAGATCAACACGCTGAGCTAGAATTTTTTGGCTAGTTCACAAGGTTAGTCTACAGAAAGACATGTCACCCTACCTGGATACATTATTCTGACTTCGCCCCATCAGTCATTGCTACCTCTCCTAGTGGAGGTATGCATGAGAACACTGAGACTCAGATTTCGTAGTAAGAGTACATTGAATGAGTCTAGTAGATACATAGGGAATAGTTTGGATATAATATGTATGAAATAATCCATAGGCTGCTAGTGTTGGTATACATATGTATATAAGTTTTATCAGGAAAAGTGTATTGTGTGAAACAATCCCTCAAAGATATATCAGGAGTTGTATTTGCATATATGGAAAATAGACACAAATTTTCCTGCCAAAAATTATATCTTCAAATATTTATATAAAAAACAAGGCCTGTATATTGTATATTAATTTTTCCAGTATATTGATGTGTTATGGATTGACAAAGACATCATTTAGGATATTTTTGAAAATTTAAATGCCGTAAAGTGGTCAATATTTGCTAGGGTTATTTTTGCTAATTTTTTGATTAAGATAAAATAATGAAAATGTCTGATTACGTAAGTTATGTCTTTAAAGAAAACCAACATCATGAACAAAATAAGGTTGAAAAATAAACAGACTTAATAAGAAATTCTGAAATTTAAACTGCTAAAATTAACCTTGTGACAGTATCAGCATAAGTTATATCTTATAAACTTTGGGACTTTTTGCAACATCTCAATTGTTTATATTTTATGCATGTATGTATTCTAATAAAATGTTTTCATTTGTCACTATATTATGCTTAATTACTTTATTTTCAAAGGAGACATTGTGACAAATTTAAATGAGGAATTGTCAAGAGTTGTGTCAGAATTAGAGAATGCCATCGATGAAAGAAAGAACAGTCCTGAGGAGGGAGATGAAGATGAAAATGTAGATGAAATACAACAAGAGGTTAATGATGGGGTAGAGGAAAAGGCTTTAGAGGTAAATCGGGGAATGGTTGAAAATAAAATAAGCGTTTTTTGGGTAAAGAATGGTTGAAATGTAATCAAAACCATAATGTTGATGGGTTGATAGCTTTATTTTCCATTCCCCATCTCTTCCTTTGAAAGTTCAATCACCATACTGCAATGAGGTGAACATTTTTAGGTCTAATCCATGGCCCATGCCAAGAAATTGATTAATTATAAATAATCAGATATTCAATTAAGAAAATGATGTGTACAACCATACTTGTCAAGAAAACTATTTTATTAAAAATTACATATAAAGTTCAAGGTGCATGAAACTCTGTTTTAAAAAAAAGTTTCAATTCAATTACAACAATTAAAGGCAAGGGGAGGATAACTCCAATTTAAAATATTTCCTAAATGTGTTCAATTTCAATTCACTGTTTTATTTTAAGTTGACATTGCAGAATGAAAGCAATCTTTACCCTTCAGTGCTAACAAGCATTGGTAGATACACACTGTTTTCTGTGTACTGTGTAAATGAAATTATTTACTGTATTAGTCTGGAAGAAATTAATTTTTTATACTGAAAGTAAAACACTATAGTAATTGTTACTATTGACAGCTGTGTACATATAGCTAGTTTACTTTTGTTTAAAAAAAGATAGTAAACGATTGGAAAAAATGTTAATAGAGACAGTCATGTAAATAGCAACAAATTAACATCTGTACGGAACAAAGTGAACCAGGTCAAAAAAAGGTCTGAAGATACCAAGAAAACATTTATAACTCTTAGTCAAAAAGAGAAACTGACAACGCCATGACAAAACATAGAAAACTAACACAAACTCTACTAAATGTGGGTCTCATTGGGGTCTAAGCGTGACCCGGGAATGCCGATTTATTGTAAGCGTGACACGTGAAAGTCAAATTAATGTGCCGTGAAAACGGAAATGAAGTCTAGCGGGACACAGGAAATTACAAAAAAATGAGAATTGCTTACGTACATAGTGTAAGCGGGATACGGGAATCTGACAAAACAGTAAGCGGGATCCGGGATCAGAACCCCCCAATGAGACCCCCCTAAATGGAGTAATCTCAGGTGCTCTGGAAGGGATAGCTGATCCTGCTCCTCATGTGACACCCATCATGTTACTCCTATAAAATATGCTGATAGGTTATATCAATGATAAGACTTTTTGCAATAGCAGATTGGTAATTATTGACTCGTATCCAACCCTAAGACATATTCAACTTGTTCATTTGTTTGTCAATTTTACCTAATTAAAAGCAGACTCAAACAGTTAGATATGGGACCTAGACCAATGAAATTGGCAAACACAGCAAAATGACCTGCTAGATTATTCTCCATTTTTCAGGCTTGTAAGCTGAAGGATGCTTTTGACTTTGATCCAGAACCCCCTGAGGTACCCCCACGAGGACTACGCCCTGCTACATTCCATCCTCCGCCACCACCCCCTCCCAATGAGTACCCAGAGCCAGCGTACTTACAGGAGGAGATCAACAGCCTTAAGGCTGAAACCTACATCCTACAAGAACAAATAGGAAAGCAGGAGGCTGAATTGAACCTACATAGGGCTGCCCTCGGAAGTTTACGTGAAGAGAGGGACAGATATTATAGAAAAGTATGTAGTAAATTTATTTGGTGATGAAATTAATAATGACAAAAAAATTGAATTTATGTTTTTAATTGGTCAGATATATATGACGATTTGAAGAAGTAGGTTCAAATAGGATTGTTACCAAGAAAAAAATTAATATTTTAAAGGCATTTTTTCATACCCAGAATCTTCTGAAAATTCAGATAATTTTTGCGATGTTTTTATTATTGTGAAAAATTGTGATGAGATAAACAAAAGTTAAATCTTGCATTATAAATCTTTGAAAGCATTATTTTTAAGGAGTATTTTTTGAAATGGCAATAATTGATTTCGCATTTTTGTCCATTGTTTAAAAATTGCATTAACGAATGCACACAAAAACTTCTGAATTTACTCTATATCTTAACTGAGTAGAAACTAATTGTTATTTGCATACATTCAGTTAAGCATCACAGATTCATATTATTTACATGTTTAAACTTTCTAGACCTCTATTACAAGCTTTCCTATAATCAGTCAGGGGCATTACTTAAACAAGTAGCTTTTAAAATTACCTATACAAGTAATGTTGAAAACGAGGCTATTTTAAATATTACTTATATAAGTAACTTTTCTAAACATTATTTTTATAGGTGTCCAATTATACAGATTTTACTAGCTTTAATAAATTTTCACAGTCATCTGGTTATTTTTGCCATGAAATATAAAATCTAATCCTTCTGAAACACTAATTGCCTTTCTGACGCACTTATCTTTCATATCGACGCTTCTGGGTCAAAGATTGGTCTCTTGGGACTATTAAAATATAATATTCCTCGAAAATCTTGAAGGTAGACAGATATAAATAGATAGAAACTTGTGAATTAATTAAGACTTGAAGTTATTTATAATTTGTAACCCAAAACAATTACATATATTCCTTAAATAAGTGTTATTACTAATTCTTTCAAAGATGTATAAAATAACTTATTCAAGTAATATTTTTGTCATTATTTTAAAGTAACCCTTTATCTCTATACTCCTCTCAAATCTAATAAATTCTTTATTTTATGATATAAAATGATGTAAAAATTCATGAAAACTACATTTAGTCCATGCTTCTATTGAAATTTAAAATAACTCTATTGAGTTATTTTATTATTTTTAAAAACAAAAATTACCTATATAAGTAACTAAAAAAAATTACTTGTTTAAGTAACGCCCCTGACTGAAAATAGCCTAGATTATATGATTGTTTTTGCTAAAAAATTAAGAATATTGTGAGTTGCATTGCTAACTGATCAGCAAAAAAAGTAAGAAGCGAGATTGTAATTGCAATTTTTTTCTAAAGCCAATGTAAATATAACATTTATTATGTAATGGCCTTGACTGCATTATAAGTGTTTAAAATCAACTCATCACATCTTTTAATACAAAGATTCATGTATTTTTATTTAAAAAATATATCAGAGATCCTATGTTCATAGAAACGCTGCTTAGATATACAGTTTCACACAATTCATTCTAACATTAGAATTCAGTATCAGGTACTACATTTTATTATAAAATATGCAAGTTCTGTACTCCTTGCAGCCACTGATTGACTGAATCTTAACATAAGGGTTAAAAAAACCATAAGATATTATTTTTAAAGTTGAAAAACAGATTTGGATAATTGAGAGGCAAATGATACCAAAGGGACATTAATGAAAAAAACCACAAAAAGACGAACAACAGTACACAAAACACAACATAGAAAACTAAAGACTAAGACTAAGTTTTGTCCAATTTATTTTGTAGTGGAAGGAGACTTGTAATAAAGTACAAACTTATGATTCCTCCAGTCCACAACAGAGTAGGACATCTACACCAACAAAGTCACAACAGTCTGCTCAATCCGTAGAAAGGTAGGTACCAGTCTACAACAGATAAGGACCTCTATACCCAAGTTTTTGTATTTCATTGTAATTTCAAGACGAAACAAATAAGGGATCAGCATTGTATCTAAATTTTATGTTATTATGCTATGCACTGTGTATAACATTACTATATTGGTGTATCCAATGTGCTAACTATACTCTAATTCCCAATATCAGGAAAAATGGTCATAAAAGTGTGTGTGACAATTACATAGAAATTGCATTAATTATTCTTGCGCTTTTTGTCCTGTTATGTTTCCTTTATAATGTGAATTTTCTGTGACGCTTTTGTATATGATATACTCTTTGCGCAAGGATCAAAGTATACCTTTGCAAAACATGAAATAATAAATCATATTTAACACATTGTCTTATTTATTATTTATAGGAGTGTTCATGCTGAGCAAGCACCTGTTGCTAAGGTAGCTGAGCTGAAGAAACTGAAGACTTGTGCCAGTGATAGAAAAATGTTGGGACCTGAGATTAGTGACACTGCTGTAAGTATTAGATATACCTTGAGGGTGTTACCCCGAATGGGTGTATCTAATTTTCACCAAGATATTATTGTCAATGCAGAATGATAGTTTTCAATAATTTAGGAAGGGGGTCTTTCAGCGATTTGATCATATGTTATTGAAAAGCATGATAAATGCAGGGTTTCCAATTTCATTTAACGACATCTTAGTGTAAGTGCTCTTATATTGAATATGCCTCCCATGTGGTCCTGAAAATCAAAAATTTTTGTATAATTAGCCATTTCAGAATCCAAAGGAATATAGGTAATTTCATTGTTCATACACATAATTGAAGATTACGATTCATCATTGGTTGAATTTAAATTGTGTAGGATGTTGTTAGCCAATCACATGGTGTTTTGGTGTACATTTAAAAAAAAGATTACAGCGAATTCATTAGATTCTGAAACGGTGAATTATCAAATCATCTGGTTGGCATATTAAAAATAAAATGAAATTGTTTTTGACAAGAATCTTCAAGTCTGAGAAGAGTTAAAAATTATAAGCATTGGCAAATTACGTACTTCATGGAAATTTTGTAATCAAAAGAAAAATGAAAAAGACTGTTTAACCTTGGTGTTTGTTTGATGTTTGAATTTTTTATAAAAATATCTAAATGTTTTTATACGACCAGTCATATATTGGTATGACGTTGGCGTCGTCGTCGTCCGAAGACACATTGGTTTTCGCACTCTAACTTTAGTTTAAAGGAAGGTTGGGATTGATTTTGGGGGTTATGGTACCAACAGTTAAGGAATAAGGGGGTAATTGCCTCAAAAGTTTTGGAATTAGGGGCCAAAAAGGGGCAAAACACAAGCATTTTTCTAGTTTCAGGACAATAACTTGTGTGTAAGTGTATGGATCTTTATGAAATTGTACTACAAGGTTCCATATCACAAAGGGAAAGCTGGAATTGAGTTTGGGGGTAATTGCCCAAAACGTTTAGGAAAAAGGGGCCAAAAATAAGCATTTTTCTAGTTTCCAGACAATAACTTGTGTTCAAGTGTATGGATTTCTCTGAAATTGTACTGCAAGGTACCATACCACATAGGGAAGGCTGGGATTGATTTTGGGGGTAATTGCATCAAATTTTAGGAATTAGGGGACAAAAAGTGGCAAAAAACAAGCATTTTTCTAGTTTCAGGACAATAACTTGTGTGTAAGTGTATAGATCTTTATGAAATTGTACACAAGGTTCCATATCACAAAGGGAAAGCTGGGTTTGAGTTTGGGGGTAATTGCCCTAAATGTTTAGGAATTTGGGGCCAAAAAGGGGCCTAAAAACAAGCGTTTTTCTAGTTTCCAGACAATAACTTATGTTCATGTGTATGGATCTCTCTGAAATTGTACTGCAAGGTACCATGCCACAAAGGGAAGGCTGGGATTGAGTTTTGGGGGTGATGAATCATAAGGGGGTTCAAAAAGTTTGGGGGAGGGATTTTTTTTCCCTTTTTTTCCTTTTTTTTCCTTTAAAATTTTAATTTGTTTATTTCTGATTTATATATGAAAGCAAATAATAATGATATGGTTTGAATAGGAAAACTAAAAATTTTTAAGTTCTTAGACCACATTCATTCTGTGTCAGAAACCTATGCTGTGTCAAATATTTAATCACAATCCAAATTCAGTACTGTTTCAAGCTTGAATGTTGTGTCCATACTTGCCCCAACTGTTCAGGGTTCGACCTCTGCGGTCGTATCAAGCTGCGCCCAGCGGAGCATTTTATTTCACCAAAGTAAAAAAAAAAGCACTAAAAAGAATTTTTAAAATCTTTGTTAATGCTGAACATATCATGAAATGCTGTATACCGTGAACTACAGCATTGTGATTTTGATTTTAGAATGTATTTTTTTAAAATGCCTTGCTCATGTTATCAGACAAAGTCACATATTATCGTGTTCTTTCTGTGACATTACCCAAGTGTGCTTACATGGAGTTAAACTTACGGCAAACATTTTTCATCACTTTATTTTTAACGAACAAAAAGTTTCAACTAAATGATACCTGTAAACTTTTTTAATGTTTAACAATAGATTTAATGTTAATTTTTGTTGAAAATATGAAAATATTCATTACAGCACAATTGAAATACTTTTTTACAAGAAATTAATTTTATTGAAAATATTCCTTTGACTTTATTAATTAAATGCATATCTCTTTTTTTCTTTAATTTAGTTCCCTAATACAAAAGTTGCTGAACATTTATCTCATGGACTACAGGAGTGTTCTAACATGCAAGAAATCGTACAGAACATTTATACAAGTGGCTCTGAAGTGATGGATAACCATGTTAGTGAATTTGAAATCGAATTTGAACGATTGCAGAGTAAAATTGATAATTTGAAATCTCAGAACGATTTGTTGTGTTTGACTTTGGACGAGAGTAAAGCCATGACAGATCGGTTAACGGTGCTAATCGGAAAATATGAATCTAATGTGACAGCTTTACAACTTGCGGTGAATTATTCCGATCAGGCTATGGAAGTTTACGATACGTTGGTGAATTTAGTTGAAAGTGAAATGGCCATATTGGCTACAAAATCTTGGAAACCGGAAGGTAAATGTGAAACGTTTTCTGATGATTTTAAAAAAATCAAAGAATCCTTGGTAATAGAAAAAATAATACGGGCATTAGTTACATGTAAGAAGAAATTATGTGTTTGTTAGTGAGATGGCAACCAATTATGAAATCAGAAAATGTCGGTTATACATCAGTGAGACAGTGACCCAACACAAAAATAACCAAAAAGACATCTTGAGCTTCAACATCACTTAAAATCAAATTGTCGCCACATGACTTTAGCACTAAGATACAGCTGATACTTGGTTTGAAGTTCAGTAGCATTGGTGTGACAAGTGTTCAAGTCATTACGTTCTTCCTTTATATATTATAGAGAAATTGTCAATAGAGATGTACCTATAAGGGTCATTTGGTAAACTTTAAGATATGGTCTTTACTACCGGTATGTGCATTGCAAGAAAAAAAAAAGATTACATTGAAAATAAATTTTCCTGGTTTTTGACAAGTTAATGTAGAATGTTTCCTCATCAAACTCAATTGTTATGCCATAGAACTGAACATGCATGAACTATTTTCCACTGGACATTAAGCAAACAACAATCAATCAGTCAACAATATTGAATATATGGAAGATTCAAATAGTAAGAATAATAAATAATTGCATTTATATAAAGAAATATTACTCACAGCTAGTACAATATTCATATTTTAGTTGAAAAAAAACATGCTAGAAGTCCTTAGTTAATTTATGTATCATTGTCATTTTGCTTAGTTTCTTCTGTTACATATCCTGTCATCGGACTCGGAATTCTTTTAAACTGAGGATTACTGTGCGTATTGCTGTGTGTTTGTTTGTTCTACATTGGCTAGAGGTATAGGGGGAGGGTTGAGATCTCACAAAACATGTTGAACCCCGCCACATTTTTTGCGCCTGTCCCAAATCAGGAGCCTCTGGCCTTGGTTAGTCTTGTATGTTTTTTTAATTTTAGTTCATTTATATGTTTCGGAGTTTAGTGTGATGTCCATTTTCACTGAACTAGTACACATTTTTGTTAAGGGCCAGCTGAAGCCCGCCTCCGGGTGGGGGATTTTCTCTCTGAGTTGAAGACCCATTGATGGCCTTGTTCTGTTTTCTGCTCTTTGGTCGGGTTGTTGTCTATTTGATGCATTCCCCGTTTCCATTCTCAATTTTATTTCTCCATCATTGTTTTATTTCAATCGGTCACATCAGTTCAAGATCACTTAAATGAAAATTTTTTCCACTGGATCCAAAATTTTCATGTAAAAAACAGTGAAGTATATGTAACAGACGATAATGAATTTACAGGTGAACAAGAAGATAATTCTGTGATAAAGAAGGCTCATGAGCATAGGAAGATTTCAGAGAGTGCTGCACGACATTTACTACAGAAGTTAGATAGGACAACAGGGGTACATTTGTCAGTTATTACACAACCCTTTGACACACTCAGGTAATTTTGACTACACATTTAGATATTTATACCCCCACAACCTAAGTGGGAAATAGGAATTACTCAGTCCATTTCCCTCGTAACCAAAACAACAATCGAGCCGGATAGATATTGTTGACCTTAATAAAGAAGGATGCTTTTATGTAAGTACAACACGGTACCTCTATCGATTTTCTCACAACTATTAAACACACACTGGTAAGGTAGGAATCAAGGTTACCTTGTCAATCAGCTTACTAACATTTGTTTCTTTTTGACAGACATTCAGAATCTCATTTCAGTGAATACAAATAAACAGGTTATTGTCCTTTGCTATTTAAACAATGAAAATGAAAGTTGATTTAGAAGAATAAGTTGGGTAAACATTGATATGCAGCTATTAGTTTGTTGGCAAGAGGAAAAAATGTTCTGTTAAATATTTATAAACATTGTCTGCATTTGTATTTTGATCATAACTGTTCAGGTGATATATGCAATTTCCCCATCCTCTCAGAAATGCTTGTGAATCGTTATTGTATAAGGGCTTGTTTACTTGTTTTCTTGATCTGCAAACATATGTTTCTTTATATAACTGTGATTTTTTTTGCCAGTTTTCAAATAGTTCATTATAGTTTTTATCAGAATTGTTGTATTTGCAAGTGTTGCATGTTTTGAATTTTCATATTTTCCTGAATCAGCATTGAGAGAACGAACAACTTTAACAAAAAACTCTTAACATTAGTTATAGAAAGAAAATCTTCAGCAACAAAATTTGGTCTTTATGATAGGGAGTTGCAATATGAAAGAAAATGATAGTGTTTTATCAATAAATTGAAATGTCATTTAGAATGCAAGCCACTGCATAAAAAAAAAAGATATGCATGCTTCAACAAATGAAACGTTTTCTTTAAATTTGTGAAGATATGAATCATAAAAACAAAACCTATGGAATCTAAAAAGGTCAACAAAACAGAAACCAAGAACTGTCAGATCCTTGGTAGAGTAGTGTTGACAACGAATCTGTATTTCAATATGGGCTATTCCATTAAAAATTACGTGCAACGGTGGCCAAAGTATCCAAAGTCACCTACAACCAACATACTTTCTTGGAATAATTTTGTATACATCAAATGGAGATACAATCATAAATGAACCATGAACCTTATCTGTTAATAAACTTTCTCTTTCTACCATCTCATATTTATTTCAATGGAAAAGTCCTCATTATGCTATACATGACTATTTTCAGTATCAGTTCTACGACGAGTTCTGTCGACAGTGATGTTAGTAAAATAGAAGAGACCAGATTACGTGAATACATACATAGACTGACGACAGACCGAGCTGCCATCAGACTCACTGTGGCTGACTTGGAGAGTATTCATGTAGACCCTCCAGCAATGGAGACGAGGAGAGACACCCAGAGATTTGATCTTGAGAATGCTGTGTTGATGCAGGAATTAATGGCTATTAAGGTTGGTTTGATGAATCTTTGTGCATTGATTTGCGGTTTTGATGTTATAGCACATTTTTACAATTTTTTGCCCCACCTACGATAACTTTGTTTATTATTTGACTATAAATTTTCTATTTTCTCATTGTTAAATAGGAAATCTTTGATAAATCATTATATTCACTGCGGAAAAAAACACAAGAGGTTAATGTAAGATTTGGAACAGGGTCTGTGTACCTAAATATAGATATTCCAAGGCAACGTTAATGACGTAGGTTTATGACGTCATGCAAATTCCTGTTTTTTTCTTTTTCTTGTTTTCAGGTATTTTTTTAGTAATCTTTATTGAATATTTCAACTTATGAAAATTAGCTACTGTAAAGGCAGATGATATACATGTATAGTGTATAAAACAGGGAGCAGTTTTAAAAGTATCTTTGTACAAATACTTGAAAATTGGAGAAGGATAAAAAGTCATGACTTGATTTCATTAATTTGATACAATGATTTATCAACCCCAGAGATTTGACATTCACCCTCGGCTGTTGGCCTCAGTGAATATTATATCTCTGGGGTTGATAAATCATTGTATCAACCTCATCAAAAGTCAATAATTGTATATTGTCCATCGGTCTCCTGTATCAGGTTATAATTTTGGTTTAAGGTAGTTTGTAATTACATAAACTAGAGACTTTGAGGCCGGCATATGGATTTGAACAATGAGCAAATAAGTAAAAGATATACTGTAAAGTTATACATATATATTTTTTAGTTAAATTTTTGTTAGTAAGGTTTTATTTTAATTTTTGTTTTGCTTTGATTCTGGTCTTTCTTAAAGATAAAACATACACCAAGCAAAATTTTCGTGATTTTGTCTTAATAAGCAAAATAATCCTCTCAAAATGGGCACTAAATGGTAGTAAATTTTATATGTTGGAACATGAACACATTCGTAAGTATTTGTTGATAAAACTATAAACCAATCTTGACTTGTTTTTATAAATCAGTTTCACCAGGTGACCCAAGCAAGGCTAATCGGCGTAAATGACATAATTGAACAATTGGTTCTTACTGTGACATAACAACATAAGCATTGTGACATAACAACATAAGCATTGTGACATAACAACATAAGCATTGTGACATAACAACATAAGCATTGTGACATAACAACATAAGCATTGTGACATAGTATTTTAAAATTGTAGGGGAGAATGCATAAATTTGAGAGTGGTCTTTATATATAATTAGAGACCGAATTCTTTGTTATAGGAAGAAAAGGCTGAATTGAAATCCCACAATTATTTATTAGAAAAGGAGAAACGATCTATAGAGTTACGACTGAGTGGGAAAGAGGCTCAGGAGCAGGCTTATTATGTACAGATAGAGCATCTGAAAGGTGAAGTAAGAGATCTGGAACAAAGATTGACAGACAGAAGGAGAAATCAGGTATTGTACTTGCTTACCTTGCTGTAACATCAACCTTTTAACACCCCACTTTATATCCCCATACACAAATGAGAAATCTTCTCCCCTTCCACCACTTAGTTCTATACCTATTTACACAAATATACTGCTCAAAGAAAGTTATGCAACATTTCCATTGAGATAAATGGAGGTTAAACATTAGGGCTCATATCTTCATAGAAATTATCTGAAATTAAGAGTATTCCCGTTTTAAAGGGTGTTGCAAATATTGATTAAAGAAAAGAACTAAAAATATATGATAAAAATTTAGGGAGTAAAAAAGTACCCTTTCCAATTTTATTTCTTTATTTTTTGCAAGGGAAATGTTAGTTTCTGTTCATATGTAATCATTTAATCCAACAGTTACCACCACTTCATCAATGTTGTCCATTGTATCCAATTTTTAACTAAGCATGTGCAGAAACATGTTAAATTTGTGACTTTTAATATTGACCTCTCTCCTCAATGTTTGCTAACAGTGTAGTTGTCTGAAATTTGACCAACACAACTATAGTATTTCTGAATATTTGCAACTGGACATAAAACAACCAACAATCAATCAATCAATCAATCTGAATACACAAAAGATTAAAGACTAAGAAAACACAAACTTTTATCAATATTTTGTTTTGCTCTATTTTCAGTCAGAAGTTGTGTTGCTAAACTTTATTTGATAGAACTTTTTAAAGATGAAATATGAGATCTTGAGAATAACTTAAATAAAGAGAAATTAACTAAAAGATTTGATCATGGGTACCTGTAACAGATAGATGTATTTTTAATGCCAAAGTTGACAGCAGCCTCATACAAGACACCTAGAGGTTATAATGAGGTCTTCCAACAAATGACAAGCATCAACACAATATACTGATTGGAACCTTTTCAGTGTTTGTTTTATGGAAAATATTGTTCTGAAAATTAGTCTCAATACTTTCATACAAAAGCAATTAACTAAAATGCACTACATTGTCTGTTTTCAAAACAGATGATAGAAGACTGATGATAACAATCATCCAATCACCCCCAGTTTATTGTGGGGTTCATGTTGCTCAGTCTTCAGTTTTCTATGTTGTGTTTTGTGTACTTTTGTTTGTCTTTTTGTAGATTTTTGTTTTTTTTTGCCATAGCGTTGTCAGTTTGTTTTCGATTTATGAGTTAGAATGTCCCTTTGGTAACTTTTGCCTCTCTTTCAGACATCTAGTAAAGAATTGATGATGATCCTAATGTCCTGCTCTTTACCCTGATCAATCCACTTTGCCAAGCACTTATTTGATTTATTATTACTTTGTTCTCATCCTGAATATAAATAAGATATCTTCTGGATGTTATGGTCATTCCTAAAATCAGACATTTTAAAAGTCTCGTAAATTTGGTCCCTTGGCTTATTGGACCATATGTCCATTGAACTAGTTTTATTATCAGTTTCAAGTTTAATTGTCTGGTAGTAAACATTGTTTTTTCCTGTAAAGGCTTAATACTAAACTGGGCAAGATGTCCAGTAGCAATCTGAGAACTTTGAACTCACTAATGTTTATCATGCAACAATCAATGGATGGGAAATATTATAATTATAGGTACCTGAAGCTTAATACGGAAGCTATAAATTAAAAAAAAAATATATAGTTTTTTCTTGATAAAAACACTATTAAAAAACTGTGAAATCTGATAAGTTACAATTTTTCTGATATTTCCTTGTTTTTGGCACAACCAAGAAATCAAGTATCCATTGAAATACAATTTTTCCATAATCCAAAAAAAAAGTTACCCACCTGAATAAATGAATCAGTAGTATTTGAACAACTTTGTCATCTTTGAAAAAAAATAACATATTTTCTTCATTTCTTTCAGATAGGTGATGATCAGCTGTCAGTTTCAGATATGTCAAATGATTTATCTAAAGACTATAATGAGGCCCTGAGAAGGGAGAAAAAAATGAAATCCAGAATCCAAGAACTTGTGCTAGCTTTGGAAAACTTGTCAAGAAATTCTGAAATTCGACATCAACAGTCGACTGAATTTGTGAATGACTTAAAACGAGCCAATAGTGCCCTGATCTCAGCTTTTGATAAAGCCAAGAAAAAATATCAGAATAAATTAAAGAAGTTGGAACTTCAAATGCAAGGCTTAACAGAAAGATATGAAACACAGGTAAAAATAGCAAGCCAGAGTTATCCTTCTTTTGTTGTGTTGATTGTTGGAATATAATGTGATAGAGAGAGAAAATAAGTGTATGAATAAAAGTAGACTTGGGGTTAATGTCAAGAAGACGGCAATGAAAATGAAAAACTAAAACAAATCCATTTTTTAGCTCACCTGGCCCAAAGGGCCAAGTGAGCTTTTCTCATCACTTTGTGTCCGTCGTCGTCGTCTTTAACTTTTTACATTTTGAACTTCTTCTAGAGAACCACTGAATGGAATGAAACCAAACATGGCATGAATGTTCCTTATGAGGTGCTGACCAAGTGTTGTTACTTTGAAGCCGATCCATCATCCAAGATGGCCGCCAGCAGGGGACTTAGTTTAACATAGGACCCTATGGGAAATACATACAAATGTCTTCGTTTAGAGAACCACTGAATGGAATGAAACCAAACATGGCATGAAAGTTCCTTATGAGGTGCTGACCAAGTTTTGTTACTTTGAAGCCCATCCACATTCCAAGATGGCCACCAACGGGGGACTTAATTTAACATGGGACCCTATGGGAAATATTTACAAATGTCTTCTTTTAGAGAACCACTGAATAGAATGAAACCAAACATGGCATGAATGTTCCTTATGAGGTGCTGACCAAGTGTTGTTACTTTGAAGCCAATCCATTATCAAAGATGCCGCCAGCAGAGGACTTAGTTTAACATAGGACCTTATGGCAAATACATACAAATGCCTTCTTTTAGAGAACCACTGAATGGAATGAAACCAAACATGGCATGAATGTTCCTTATGAGGTGCTGACCAAGTGTTGTTACTTTGAAGCCAATCCATTATCCAAGATGGCTGACAGCAGGGGACTTAGTTTAACATAGGACCCTATGGGAAATAATTACAAATGTCTTCGTTTAGAGAACCACTGAATGGAATGAAACCAAACATGGCATGAATGTTCCTTATGAGGTGCTGACCAAGTGTTGTTACTTTGAAGCCAATCCATTATCCAAGATGGCTGACAGCAGGGGACTTAGTTTAACATAGGACCCTATGGGAAATATTTACAAATGTCTTCTTTTAGAGAACCACTGAATAGAATGAAACCAAACATGGCATGAATGTTCCTTATGAGGTGCTGACCAAGTGTTGTTACTTTGAAGCCAATCCATAATGAAAGATGGCCGCCAGCAGTGACTTAGTTTAACATAGGACCCTATGGGAAATACATACAAATGTCTTCTTTTAGAGAACCACTGAATGGAATGAAACCAAACATTGCATGAATGTTCCTTATGAGGTGCTGACCAAGTGTTGTTACTTTGAAGCCCATCCATGATCCAAGATGGCCGCCAGCGGGGGACTTAGTTTAACATAGGACCCTATGGAAAATACATACAAATGTATTCTTTTAGAGAACCACTGAATGGAATGAAACCAAACATGGCATGAATGTTCCTTATGAGGTGCTGACCAAGTGTTGTTAGTTTGAAGCCGATCCATTATCCAAGATGGCCACCAGCAGGGGACTTAGTTTAACATAGGACCCTATGGGAAATACATACAGATGTCTTCTTTTAGAGAACCACTGAATGGAATGAAACCAAACATGGCATAAATGCTTCTTATGAGGTGCTGACCAAGTGTTGCTACTTTGTTGTCGATTTACTGTTCAAGATGGCCACCAGGATATTTTATTAAATTACAGGGCCAATATTAAACCAAGTTTGGCTTTACTCATTATTAGGGTATCTGTTATGATTTTAATCTATTTTTACATGATTTCCAAAACCAAAGTAGAATCAGGTTAGCGACACAGGCTCTTGAGAGCCTCTAGTTTAGGAATAAAGTTGAAGTTGAAATTTGATATTTTTTGGAAATTAGTGGAAAGTATTCAACAGTTTTTAATAATTTGAAATCATAATTTTTTTCTTTTGTGCAGTACTTATTGATTATAATTTATTTGTTAGTTAACTTCTCTAAGAATTTGAATAATTTTTTTTCAGTTTGATTTTTTTTTCCATTGTTGGAAGAACCATTGTGTGCATGTTTCTTACTGACCCAATGAAATTGTAACCATCGAACAAACCTTACCACATATGAGTATAATTAGGTCATCTTGCTATTTTTTTCATATGATCTGAGTCTCAAATGTCTTCTACAAAGGTAAAAGGATGAAGTAATGACAATCTATTGACCATTGATTGATATAGGTTTCTAGTTTTGTATTGAATGGTAAAATACTGTGGTTGTTGTAGGGAAACCATGAATTCAAATGTCAACAAATATAAAAATAAGAAGATGTGGTATGATTGCCAATGAGATAACTCTCCACCAGAGACCAAATGACACAGAAACTAACAACTATAGGTCACCGTAAGGCCTTCAACAATGAGTAAAACCCATAGTCTGCTATAAAAGGCCCCAAAATGACAAATGTAAAAACATTCAAACGAGAAAACTTAATGGCCTGATTTATGTACAGAATAATGAAGGAAAAACAAATATGATATACAGCAACAAATGACAACCACTGAATTACAGGCTCCTGACTTTGGACAGGCACATACAGAATGTGGCGGTGTTAAAGTATTTATTCTCTTAACAATGTAAACAGACTTTTGCAAACCAAAAAATCAAATATCTTCAAAATATCATTTTATCCTCAACTGATGAAAATTGTAACACACGAATAATAAATGATTCCACAGTATGCCATTGCAATCAACATAATTTGTGTAACAACTTTGATGTTATCTTTTAAAAATATGTTGCAAGAAATATTATTTCTCTTTATTATTACATGTACCAAAATAACTTGTTTAATTGACTCATGTTTGACATTCTTTTTTTCCTTACTATCATTTTGTCATAGTATTAGTTTTAGTGAAAGTTGTTCTGGTCCATGGTCATGCTGTGAATTCACATATTTACCTTTATTGTAGATACGCCTGATGAAACAGAAGATATTAATGTTGGAGGAGGAGTGTAGAAAAGTCCCCCTCAGCGAGACGTCATTATAGCACAAGCTTGCATGTCATGTGACTGTGATTAAACTTCTATATTGTGTCCTGTTTAGAATCATGTTTCACCCAGAGCTGGAATATTTTCAAAATTTCATGAATCCATACATTGCCTTGTATCAGCAATCTTGTTGCCTTTATCTGTGGGTTCTTAAATGTTAAAAATCTCTGTCTTAATGTTTTTTAAGAGTGACACCCTACTACGCATTGTAGCAGCAATCTTATTGCCTTTAACGTTTGGTTCTAAAATGTGATAAATTCACTGTCTTAATGCCTTTAATAATGTTATTTTAAGAGTGACACACTTTTAGAAAATTCAGTTTGCTTGATTGACAGCATCTTCGCTAGTCAAGGGTTAAGATCCAGTACTTCCCTCCTCTTCACCCTTGGCAGATTAAGCCAACATTTGTGATAACAATGTTGCGCCATCTATTGGTAGATTAAAGTCACGCCCATTCCGAATACATTATTCTTGACTAATGGTAGCACTTGAACTCTTCAATTTGGAGGTAAAAACACGGTAGCGTCTAGATTCTACACAGTTGGTAAAGCAGGAAACGAAAATATACGTTGACATTCATGCATTTGTGCAAGAAACATACACAGGAACTTCTATTAATTGATTAAAAACATTCAAATTGTCACTAAATATAGTCGTATGTTTAGGGATATAAAGACTTGTTGCACAATAAGCACGTGCCAATTGTTTACATACACTTTCTACATTTACACTTGATTATGTTATAGGCGCTTTGTGATTGGATGCAGCGAGTTTCGACTGCAACCAATGAAAATCATTACCTTGTGTCTCCGAAATTCTATCTCAATCCACAAAGGGTGGAGAGAAGGGAAGTGGATCTTAACCCTTGGCTAGGGAAGATGGATTGACAGTGAATTGTATTATACTTTATTTCAAGAGTATCAAACATTGCTCCACTGACTTGATTAGAATCAGTTGACTGAAAGTTTTAAATTTATGGATGGCTTCAATTAGCCAACACTTCCAATTATTAGTAATAATCAATATTATTCAACTAATACAAAAGTTGAAATAGGGATTTGATAATGTAAGACCAGTCACATTCGGAATATTTTGTTCGGAAAAATGTATTATGTACGTTTAATACACAGTAATTGATCTAAATTATCCTGTATGTAGTAAATAAACTATATAACATCATTCTTATAAGAGAACAAAATGCCAAAATATGTTTCATCGTTGTCAAAATGCTTTACATTTTTAATTCATTTCTATATCAATGACATATTTCCACTATAGATCTGACAAAGTGTGCTTTAATCTGAATTTTTTGTTTATTGTGTTGAACTGAAAGAATTTTATGCAATAATCATTTTCATATTTTATTATGTCAGTGATGAGTTGAAAATTTACTATGCATATTATTTAAATCTTTGAAAGTTTTGCTTTGCTTTGAAATTGAGAAATATATCTTTGTTATTGCATTGTAAGTATATATATCCACAGTGTTTTGAAAGTTTAAGATGTTTTTATTTGATTTTTTTATTCAAATATATATATATAAAGGAGAAGGTATTATAAGGCCAATTTTTGGCCCCTTGAATTCTAAAATAAAAAAAGAAGTAAAAATCTATCAAATAACTTCATTCAGATGTTCATAAGAAATTAGTCTGGTGAACATCAATATTTATATTTTTCAAAGCTTCAAACTTCTTAGATTTAGTGCACAACAACAAAAACTGCCTAAATAGCCTCAATTTGAAATCTTGTCGTTAATATTTAGATATGAGCAAACAGCTTTACCCAAAAAAGATGTTTATTTTATTTTTTATGCAAATTTCTAGCTCAATTATATTTTGACCAAAACGATGCGTAAAATGGCCATTTGAGGTCAAATGTGTAAATTTCGTCATGTTCATGATGTCATAGTAACATCACACAAGTGACCTTTCTGCTCTAAAGTGTTCAGATTATGTTTATTAGTTCACTTATCAATAAAATTAACAAAATTTTGAAAGATTTGGATAATTTTACTATTTTTGCAACTACAGGGGCCAAATAATGGCCCTTATCATATCTCCTCTTTTGCAAAGACTTTATATTTTGTGCCATAGTTGATTACCATGAATTTGTATTAGATTTTATATAAGTTATACCTTTTATCATTGTCAGAAATATGAAACTTATAGAGTGAAAGTGGAGGTATATTTGTGTGGTTTTATAAGTTATAAAGATTTTATCAATTTAATACATGACCATATTTCAGTGTAAAAATGACATTTATGAATATTTTTGTTTGAGATTTGACCAATATCTGTATTTTCAATACCTTTGGAATATTGAACACTCTGTTAAAAATGATAGAATTTTTTAAACACTTTGATCAAAACGATTGAATTTTATCATTAAGTATATTTGTTTCACAGAAAACATGTCATCTTCAAGCATGGTTTTGAAAGGAAAGAAAGGTTCTTTAAAATATATTTGTAACAACATTAACAGTACCAATTTTACTGCATCAAATGCAATTCCCCAATTGTTGTCTCTTCAGTGATGCTCTCGGCCAAAATATTTGTAAATCCAAAACCTAATACAGATGTTAAAGAGCTGATAGAACCAAACGAGCCAAAAGTAAAGACAATCTGGGAAAGGAATCAGAGCTTTCCCTTAGGAAGACACATTCCTTAATTTAAAATGATTTCTGAATTTATAACAGCAAATCTAAATAAAACAATATCCTTGTTTTCATGCAAATACCGAAGTACTGGCTTCATATAATATAATACTTAAAAATAAATCGGAATTATTGCATGTATATGGGTGAATATTGTCCTGAGTAAATTTTGTTACAAGTTCATGCAATATATATTCTACAAGAGATAAATTCATGCAATAACCTTTGATTTGTATATTAAAGTTTGAATAACTGTTTTTAAACATTTTTTTTGTCACTTCAATAATTTTAAGCTATATTTGCACTATAGATATAGAACGATATAAGAGAATATTGCACCCTAACTTCTTGTTACGTTCTGTGGGAAATATTCTTTTACTACACAATAACACATTTTATCGTACCATAATGAGAGGTAAGAGCATAAATAAAGTATAGGCTTGTCTTTTACTTACATACATATTAGTCTGTTCTCCTGTTTTGTGGAATATGACTAATTCCACTGTATTCAATGCAAGTGCCACATTTATAAGTTTCTGTTTTAAAGAATAAATGTCATTTTAAAGCTAAAATATGGTTAAACACTGTAAATATTTAAAATGTCTTTCAATTGCTTTTGACAGGTCAGTATTTTGATAGATATCAGATATTTTAAATGCTTCTTATATAATGGTTAGAATGCATGGCAGCTTGGACTTTATTTTGAAATGCTAAGTACACATATTTTTATATTATTTAACTGAGTGGTTTTTTTAAACAAGGAACTTTTGGATCCTTATCGGTTTGATTTTTTTTACCACATGTTACTGAAATCAGTTCCAGAGTATAATTATTTTGATTTATAAACAAATTTAGTTCAAAGATCAGAGTAATGAATTTTTGGAACTATTATAAATCCTTTTGACCTATTTCAGAATCTGCATTGAGAATATTTCATCAATTTTCAACTTACATTTTATGTTATTTATGTTCAATTGTTTTTTAATATGATAATATTTGACCTAAATCAAACCAAAGTTTTTATTTTAATTTATTATTTATTGTTTGTTTGATGCCTACTTTTGATGTTTTCTTAATATTTTGAATGATGATGATAAATACAGGAAGTTTTCTTGGACAAAGATATAAGTTAATACACCTCCATACAGATTAACTGTAAAAAAGATTTTTTACAGATAGGGAACAATTTTGAAACTATGCTGCATTTTAAAAATAAATTAATGAGATACAGTATTGTTAAAATACATCACCTCACCTCACACTACCTCTTCATGCGGGTCGGCATTTAAGGCCCGGATAAATCTGTCCATTTCTCTTTCTACTTATGCTGTTTTACCTGTGGCATACATTGTTCTTATGTTCCAACTTCCTAAAAATATGTTTTTGTTCGGAGTACGCAAGGGTTTGGGCTAGTGGACTTCCCATGGGCTTTCATCCACCAGCATCATGTCCCTCAAGACCACGTTGTACAGCAGAGGTGTTTTCCTCATGCTGATTTCTTAATGAAATCTATGAGAAATGGTTATTAAAGCTATGTGATAGCAGCTTTTAGAATTGACAATATCTGTGAATGTCTTATATAATTTAAATTAATATTCAAACTCATATATATATCCTAGTGTTTGTTGTAAGTAAGATGAAAGGGAACAAATATTTTTATTTCATTGGTGCTATTTTTGATATTATTTGAGTTTTATATTTATAAAAACATTAAGAGATTGTTATAGCATCTAAGACTGTTATTTTAGTGTATGTGTTGTTTGAAAGCTATGAATTTTTCATAATTTGAAAATTAATATACTGTGGATGAAATTCCATACTAAAATCATTCATTTATTGCCAAAACTTCAATTATTTTATCAATTTGTTTTTAAACTTGCTTACATTATAGGGTTAAAGTGATTTTTTAATATTAACCAATTAATGAAAAACGTTTTTTTAATTGCCTGCCTTAATTTTTTGATACTATGTTTGTAGCTTTATTATCTATAATTTATAATTACATAGGAAGTGTCTATTGTGAAGCAGACAATCTCATTAAAAAAGATTTAACTACTTTGATATTTTAGTTTTTCTTTGACAAAATTCATAATATTTTATTCAGCACTATTTGGAATCTAGGTTTTTTTTTGTCTCACCTGCGACGAAAGTTGCAGAAAGCGAGATATAGGGATTGCTTTTCTGACGGCAGCAACAGCTCCAGCATCAACAATTGTTAAGTTTCTGCTTAAATTAGTTTGATAAGAACTACTTGTGATAGATCATTGATATTTACTATGAAGTTGCATTACTATCAGTACATATCAGTTTGACAACTATTTCGAGGCCCTCCCCCTAAGTAATGTTCCAGTGACTTTGAATTAATAAGCAATTTTCAATGTAAAGTTTTCTGCTCAAGTTAGTTTGATAGGATCTACTTATGATAGATCAATGATACTTTTGTATGAAGTTGCATTACTATCAGTACATATCAGTTTGACGACTATTTTTCGGCCCTGCCCCCTAGGACATGGTCCAGTGTCTTTGAATAAATTAGCAATTTTCAATGTTAAGTTTTCTGCTTAAGTTAGTTTGATAGGATCTACTTGTGATAGATCAATGATATTTTGTATGAAGTTGCATAACTATCAGTTCATATCAGTTTGATGACTATTTCGAGACCCTGCCCCTAGGTCATGGTCCAATGACTTTGAATTAATTAGCAATTTTCAATGTTCAGTTTTTCTGCTTAGGTCAGCTTGATAAGAACTACTTGTGATAGAGCAATGATATTTTGTATAAAGTTGCATTACTAACAGTACATATCAGTTTGACAACTATTTTGAGGCCCTGCTCCCTAGGATATGGACCAGTGACTTTAAATTAATTTCCAATTTTCAATATTAAGTTTTTCTGCTTAAGTTTATAGTTTGATAGGGACTTCTTACAATAAACAACGATATTTTTCTATAAAGTTACATTACTTTCTGTACATCTCAGTTTATCAACCATTTTCAGGCCCTGCCCACTAGATCATAGTCCAGTGACTGAATTAATAAGCAATGCTGCTGTCCATCAGATTGTCTTTTTCTGAATTCTATGCCAATAGGCGAGACATATCTCTGTGTCAACATTTTATTTACCTAATGTTCTGCCACTATAAAAATACAGAGATATGGTATGATTTCCATTGAAAAAATTATCTACCAAAAACAAAACCGCAGGTAGATTTTACATAAACAACTACAGGTCACGGGTTATGACCTTCAACACTAAGAAAAAACCTTTCTGTAAAGTTAGGTATAAAAGGACCTGTAATAACAAAACTTGAAATTGTTCCAAAGAGAAAATAAGTAGCCATTTTTAAGCTAATTTCTTTTTAAAAGAAAGTTAATAATGGAAGACTTCATACCAATGAAAACCACTCGATTATAGGGTCCTGGCTTGGGACCGGCATTTAAAGAATGTAGTAGAGGTAAAAATATTTTTTGAGTGCTCAGATCCTCTTGGTGACCATTGTCTGTCTATAAACTTTTTTTTTAAATTCTTCTCTGAAGAAACAGCTGAGAGGAATTGAACCCAATTTGCCTACAGGCATTATTTGGGTATCTTCTTTAAAAGTTATATCACCAAAATAGTGAAAAAACAACTTCAAAGCGATGACATCTAGAGAAAGAGTCAAAGCAAAAGTGAACAACCAATTAAAATCTACATAAAAGTTGTAATAACAGACATTATTGGTTGACTCCTTTTAGCTAGCTATAAAATCAGGTTTAATCCACCTTTTTCTACATAAGGAAATGTTTGTACCAAGTCAGGAATATGACAGTTGTTTTCCATTCGTTTGATGTTTTTGAGCTTTAAATTTTGCCATTTGATAAGGAACTTTCTGTTTTGAATTTTTCTTGGAGTTCAGTTTTTTTGTTATTTAACTTTTATGATTATTGACCTTGATTGACTTTTTTTTTTTAAAAATATTTTTGGTTTACAAAGGTCCCAACTCCACTCACAATTCCCTCAAGACAGGTTGACCTTAGCTAAATGTTGCCATCTTTTGGTAGTATATATAGCAACTCTAACGTTTCTATGTATTTATACATCCTTTGCTTTCAAATGTTTGGGTTTGAGAATTCCTCAGGTTTGTAAATTCAGAAAAGCGCTTCGGACCCACGAAATTTATAAAGGGTTATTTTATTTTTCTAGCGCTGGGTCTATTCCATGTTGGTGGACTCACGGTTAATCCCCGATGGTATCATTATCACAGGAGCAAGTGCTTTGATACTGAGATGATTTTAAACATACTTTTCCAAAATTCCATGTTGAATAATTAAGACATTACTTTGAAACTAAGGTTCAAACAAACTTAGGCAAAGTTGAACCTGTGAATAATATACAAAAACATATTATGTCTCAGGTTGACCTGAACTGAATTTTACTATCCTTTTAGGTCTCCTTTCTTCACATAGCTCCTTACGTTTCAAAGTATTTACACATTCCTGGCTTTCAAATACTTGGATTTATTTTAGCGTTCCTGATGAAGGTAAATCAAGAAAAGGTCTTTGAATGCACGAAATTTATAAAGTGGTATTTCTATTTATTAGGACTAGGTTGATATCACTGCTGGTATATTGTTACCCCCCCCCCCAAAGGGTACCATCGGAATTACCACAAGTTACACATCAATATGTCAATGGGGATATTCACTTGACATCACATTGACAGTTCAGTCACGTTTACTAGTATAATTGCTTAAACTTCTTGTTATTTCATATACAAATATTTGCTACAAGGCAGATGCTTTCCGATGCAAATAACATTGCATATTG